GTCCCCAGTTTCAGTTGATCCTCTAGGTGGCTATCAGTCATTTGTGACCTTAAGGGCATCTTGATTTGGGTAGGAAAATGTAGATTAGCAGCAATAAGTGATTGAAAATCAAGAAATCACTTATTGGACATGTTGCCAAAGGCGTGGGTATTCTACTGCATTTTCCCCTATTTCAATTGGATCTTTCTTAGCATTAAGCAATCACTTTAAAATGGCATCTACTGAGAGCTCAATCAATTCCATCTATAGTTCTTTAGGTGCTTGGTGAGATCAACTAGGTGAGATTGAAATGCTAATTTGAGTGTGATGTGATGATTCTCAAAGTCAGTGAACCTTTCATTGTATCCTCCAATTGATAGGTCTGTAACAGCTGCGTGTTCTTCAGATGATTCACATATTATCATCCTGCTCATCAGTGACCTTTGCTAACTGGAGAAAATGTTCATCCAAATTTCCTTTAGAAGAAGTGTTTTGAAAAAAGATAACTTTTTTCAAAGTGCCATGATTTTTTTTTTTTTTTGGCCACATATCATATATTACTTAGTTTTACCTTGCACAGAAATATTCCAGTTGTTTTCATTTGACATATAACACAGAAATACTGCATTCCTATAGAAATCTTCCTTCAATAATTCACACTGCTGATTCTGTTCTTCACAAATTTAACTATCCTTGCAGAGAGAAAAATTTTGGCTAACACCTGTCCCTGTGATAGCCAACATACTTTAGAATCATATGGCAAATCTACACTAAATACCTCATAGGTCAACTTTAGCATGTTAAGAAACTGATGATGCCTTCCCTGTTGCATTTTCAGGAATATAGTTAACAATACTTAAAATTTGTTGCAAAGTGTCATTTAAAATAGTAGCTTTAGCACAGAGATTTTGCTGATACAAGATACAATGAAAAGAAATGAGAGCATCTGGATCTGTTTATACTTTGTGCAATAAACCCTTTATGTTTTCCTGTCATGGAAGGTGCATCATCTGTACATACACTCACTAAATTTATCATATTCAGTCCAACTTCACATTTATCTTGAAAGTTGTTGAAGATATCTATTTCCCGTGTTCTGTTCGCAAAAGTGCCCAAGGCGAGTAACTCTTTGTAGCAAAGAAAATCTTCTGATCTGAATGAAGTGTAAAACTTGTGTCAAGTCAGTAGAATCAGTTGATTCATCCAAAGTGATTGAATAATATATATTCATCCAAAGGGATTGAATACGTTTGAAGTATTGCATAAAGTTGTTCTGTTAAGTTGAAGGCTAATGCATGATCAGTTATGGTTCTCCTTGAAAGAGGCAGTTGTTTGTACTTTGAAATGTTATCGGGGTCTAAGCATCCTACAACTTCAACAATGCGTTCTTTCACAATTTCTACATCACTGAAGGGCTTCCCTCACCCCATCCCGAGTATATAAACTACTTTATAAGTTGTGTTAGTGGCATTATTTCCAGGTCTTGTTGCTGCTTGAAAGAATCGTCTTTGCTTTTACTTTTCATCTTTTATTTCTGCAATACAACTTTTCACGCCTCTCCCTCTAATTTAAAATATTTGTGGTCCTTACGAGTGTTATAATGTTGATGAGCATTGAATTTTTTAATGTTGATATTGTAGTATCACAAAGCAAGCAAATCATCTGTAACAGAAACAAGATAATGTTACAATTTCCATCCTCATT